CACGATCACGCCAGCAGGCAGCACATCTGCATGCGGCTTCAAATCGAGGCGACGCCCCCCTCTGAGGTCAGGCTCCGCTCCAGCACACAAACGCTGGCTGGTGCACTTCAAGCCCCCCGAGAGGCTCCACAGTCCGGCAGGTTTCCCTCCTCTGCTTCTTTCTGCAGACCATCTGCTCGCTTCAGGTCTCTGCTCCTGTTTTATCACTTTTTCTGCAAAGTGAACTCCAAAATGACTCCAGCAGCCACAGATAATGATGGTGGAGCTCCACCTGATGCTGCCACCCAAAAACCACATGAGGGAGATGAATTACCAACAGGATGGGCACAAAGCTGCGGAGAGCATGAGGAGGAGTGGAAATCATTTCTTGGCTTTGGACTGCATTCAAGGTTTTCACATCTTCCCAGGCAGCGCCCCCTAGTGGCCAGTGATGACATCACACTTTAAGGCAGCTCTCAGGCCTTTTTGCTTGTTCCATCTTTACAGTCGGTTTGGCCTAACATGGGAAACATGTTGATTTATTAAAATAAACAATGCGTTGGTTATTTCCATTTTGGATTATTAAAGCATTTCTGATTCTGATTCTGATTTCCAGCATATTCTGGTAGAAAAAGGAAACTTTGGACCTAAAATCTAAATATCAATCCTGACCGTCCAACATTTATAAGAGTCTGTAGACTCAGAAAACACCACACACATGAACAGAGTATATTCATAACAGCCCGGGCCTGCAGAGTTGGAGTAGGAGTGCATCTCTGCCTCTTTGTTTCTGAGATCACAGCAAGGAGTTTGCAAACAAGGGCTACATGTCATTCAGTTCATATTTTTTTAATAAAGGCCCACATGGAAGATGCTCTGCAGGGTTTGCTCTGGTCAAGGCTCAAATCAGGACAGGGATTCAGAAAACAGGTCAGAAAGCAGCTGGACTCTATCTATCCAACCATCACAAATGTAGGAAAACATCAAACATATAAAGGCAAAGGCTCAAATTGGCTGAAAGGAATCTGAAGCCTCTGGCTTTAACATGCAACCAAAGAGAAAAAAAATATATATATTTTTCATCCTTGGAAATCTTTGATTTTGCTTGGTGAGAGAGAGATCCAGCCTGAAACACCACCTCCTGTTTGTCTACAGAAAAATATCTTAACATCTTCAGGAGTGATTGACCTAATTAACAGATGCCATCGCACGAGTGAAATCTGTGATCAAAACATTGAGTGGTGACCGGTTGAGTCGGCATTTGTTTCATCTTTTGAATGAATCTGTGGTGAGCTGGAGGAGCAGAAATGCAGCAGAGAGGCGGCTTTTGGACTCTTTAATGCAGGTGATGCTCTGCATCTGCTGGATCCACTCGAGCTTTATGAAGGTAATCTAATGTAAGTTGGGCTTTAAATGCTGCCTGTAAGCTCTGATGTTTGGTCCTTTTCGCTGACGTGTGTGTTTACATGCTGGTGTCTTAAATCACTTTCAGCTCTTTGACTTTTTAAACCAAAAATGTAGGACTTTAAACAAGAGGAAAGCAAGTATTTGAAGACAGGAGGAAAGTCCAGAGCTCCACCTTGCAGCTGTGGTCCGGCCCCCCGAACACAGGATTCCAGCGGAATTTGTCCCTAAACTGCTCCTGGAACGCAGGTGGCTGTGGGCGGAGCCTCTCCAGTCAGGAGCAGCCGCAGTGGTCCACCACCATGGAAGGGATCTTCTCATAGATGATCTGCTCGTTGCGGTTTAGGTACAGCATGTTGATGGGCGACATCTTGGAGGGCGTGCAGCAGGGCCCTGCCGAGCCCCGGGGGTTGGCCTTGTTCACCAGGTGGGCGTGCGGGTACTGCTGCAGGTGCGTGAACTCGCACTCCCCCGAGCAGTAGTTGGCCCGGTAGCGCTTGGGAGCGATGATCCAGTCCCAGCCGAACTCCTCGAAGTCGACGGTGAGCGGGTAGCGGCAGCAGCGCGTCTCCGCCGACTCCTCCTCGCAGTTCAGGCCCGAGTCCCTGCGCGACCTCCTGGAGCCGTCCAGGACCTTCACCTCGATGAAGGGTTGCTGCAAACAGAGGAGCAGATCCAGAGCTCAGGCCGGGCCGAGGTCAGGAGCTCAGGCTGAGCCTCAGGCCGACTCTGCCCAGAGCCCAGAGGCCTGTGATGTCATCAGCGTGCGACGCCGAGCCGGCAGCAGTGGAGGAGGTGGCAGCTGAGCCTCCTGGTTTGGACGTCCCCGTCCACCCCGCCGTTTGCTGCTGCTGCTGGACTCATCCAGTCATGTGACTCCCCGTCCAATCAGAGGCCTGCTCTCTTTAGTCAAACCCCGTCAAACTGAGTCAAATCGAGTCAGAATTTTCAAACCAAGTCAAACTGAGTTGAACGTAGTCAAACTAAGTCAATCTGAGTCAACCTGAGTCAATCTGAGTCAATCTGAGTCAAACTCAGTAAAAACCCAGTCGAACCCTGTCAGACTGAGTGGGCGCTCGTGGGAAGGGGCCAGTAAAGTCTCTGAGTGGACCCAGAACAGGTCCCAGCAGCCCCAGGTCCCAGGGGGACCAGGTCTCTGGGCGGCCCCAGGTCTCGGCCGGACCAGGTCCCAACGGCCCCAGGTCTCCCTGGTGGAACCGGGTCCCTGGTGGTCTCGGGGGGACCATGTCCCCGGGGGGACCAGGTCCCGGCCAGACCAGGTCTCGGGGGGACCATGTCCCCGGGGGGACCAGGTCTGGGAGGAACCAGGTCCCGGCCGCCCCAGGTCTCGGGGGCCCCAGGTCCCGGTGGAACAAGGTCCTGGCGGTCCCAGGTCCCTGCGGGACCAGGTCCCGGCCGCCCCAGGTCTCGGGGGGACCAGGTCTGGGCCGCCCCAGGTCCCCAGGGGGACCAGGTCCCGCTGGCCCCAGGTCCCGGGGGGACCAGGCCCCCGGGTAGACTGGGTCTCGGCTGGACCAGGTCGGGCGGCCCCAGGTCTGGGCCAGACCAGGTCTGGCGGCCCCAGGTCTCGGGGTTACCAGGTCCCAGGGGGACCAGGTCTCAGGGGGACCAGGTCTGGGCCAGACCAGGTCTGGGCGGCCCCAGGTCTCGGGGGGACCAGGTCCCGGGTGGACCATGTCCCCGGGAGGACCAGGTCTCGGGGGGACCAGGTCCCCGGCTGGACCAGGTCTGGCGGCCCCAGGTCTCGGGGTTACCAGGTCCCAGGGGGACCAGGTCTGGGCCAGACCAGGTCTGGCGGCCCCGGCTCTCACCAGGCCCTCCTCCCCCGGGCGTGCGGAGGTGACGGCCAGGTCTTTCCCCGCGGCGTCGAAGGCGTGGACCTGCAGGCCGTAGCTGCCCTCGGGCGCG